CTTCCATTCATTTACATACGACAGCAGTTGATGCATGCAAACTAGAAACCATGCCTTTGAAGTGACACTCTGAATTCATCAGACTTTATCACTAGTCTACACACACATTTGGGTGACAGAGAAAGTACAAATAAGACCGCCCCAATGTGTTTTCATCAAGTTTAAAAGGAACCTCTCATTTTTGTCTCCAAATACAAATCCTCACCACTAGCCACTGTGCTGCAGCTCATTCCAAACAGACACACAGAACTTGCCTACAATATGCAGTAAAATGTTCTCTCTCCAACGCAGCCTGCTCTCTCTGAGTCAGGAAAACCTGTTCATCCACACAGTGATACATAGTTAGGGCTATAGAATCACCTCTCCTGCCCCAGGTTCTGAGTTTTCATTCTAATGTGCACATGCTCTGCCACTCATTGGAGCTAATGCAAGTCTAATTTATATCTCAGCTCTGAAGTAATTAGAACTTTCAAATAAAAACTCTTGAAAATTGGGCTTACAAGGCAGAGTTTCGCAAAGGGGAGACCAATGAATCATAGACGTTAGAGATGGAAAAGATCTATTAGATTATATGGTCCACCCCCATGCCGGGGCAGGACTGTTCCCTATGATATCATCTAATATAACACAATCAATTAACTGGAAGATGAAGCTTGACAAATTCAGACTGGAAATAAGGTGTACATTTTTGAGAGAGAGAATGATCAGCCATTGGAACAACTTTTCAAGGGTTGTGGTGGATTCTCCATCACTGACCATTTTAAAATCAAGATTGGATGTTTTTCTAAAAGCTATAGCTCTGGGAATTGTTCTAAGGCCTGTATTGTATGATCGCAGTGATCCCTTCTGGCCTTGGAATCCATAAATCTAGTGTTTTGCGTGACCCAACTTTTAAATGTCTCAAGGAATACGGACGTCCAATAAATTCCAGGAAGGCATTAAGTTTTGATAATCATAGAATCATAGAATCATAGAATATAAGGGTTGGAAGGGACCCCAGAAGGTCATCTAGTCCAACCCCCTGCTCGAAGCAGGACCAATTCCCAGTTAAATCATCCCAGCCAGGGCTTTGTCAAGCCTGACCTTAAAAACCTCTAAGGAAGGAGATTCTACCACCTCCCTAGGTAACGCATTCCAGTGTTTCACCACCCTCTCAGTGAAAAAGTTTTTCCTAATATCCAATCTAAACCTCCCCCACTGCAGCTTGAGACCATTACTCCTCGTTCTGTCATCTGATACCATTGAGAACAGTCTAGAGCCATCCTCTTTGGAACCCCCTTTCAGGTAGTTGAAAGCAGCTATCAAATCCCCCCTCATTCTTCTCTTCTGCAGGCTAAACAATCCCAGCTCCCTCAGCCTCTCCTCATAACTCATGTGTTCCAGACCCCTAATCATTTTGGTTGCCCTTCGCTGGACTCTCTCCAATTTATCCACATCCTTCTTGAAGTGTGGGGCCCAAAACTGGACACAGTACTCCAGATGAGGCCTCACCAATGTCGAATAGAGGGGAACGATCACGTCCCTCGATCTGCTCGCTATGCCCCTACTTATACATCCCAAAATGCCATTGGCCTTCTTGGCAACAAGGGCACACTGCTGACTCATATCCAGCTTCTCGTCCACTGTCACCCCTAGGTCCTTTTCCGCAGAACTGCTGCCTAGCCATTCGGTCCCTAGTCTGTAGCTGTGCATTGGGTTCTTCCGTCCTAAGTGCAGGACCCTGCACTTATCCTTATTGAACCTCATCAGATTTCTTTTGGCCCAATCCTCCAATTTGTCTAGGTCCTTCTGTATCCTATCCCTCCCCTCCAGCGTATCTACCACTCCTCCCAGTTTAGTATCATCCGCAAATTTGCTGAGAGTGCAATCCACACCATCCTCCAGATCATTTATGAAGATATTGAACAAAACCGGCCCCAGGACCGACCCTTGGGGCACTCCACTTGATACCGGCTGCCAACTAGACATGGAGCCATTGATAACTACCCGTTGAGCCCGACAATCTAGCCAGCTTTCTACCCACCTTGTAGTGCATTCATCCAGCCCATACTTCCTTAACTTGCTGACAAGAATACTGTGGGAGACTGTGTCAAAAGCTTTGCTAAAGTCAAGAAACAATACATCCACTGCTTTCCCTTCATCCACAGAACCAGTAATCTCATCATAGAAGGCGATTAGATTGGTCAGACATGACCTTCCCTTGGTGAATCCATGCTGACTGTTCCTGATCACTTTCCTCTCATGCAAGTGCTTCAGGATTGATTCTTTGAGGACCTGCTCCATGATTTTTCCAGGGACTGAAGTGAGGCCGACTGGCCTGTAGTTCCCAGGATCCTCCTTCTTCCCTTTTTTAAAGATTGGCACTACATTAGCCTTTTTCCAGTCATCCGGGACTTCCCCGGTTCGCCACGAGTTTTCAAAGATAATGGCCAATGGCTCTGCAATCACAGCCGCCAGTTCCTTCAGCACTCTCGGATGCAACTCGTCCGGCCCCATGGACTTGTGCACGTCCAGCTTTTCTAAATAGTCCCTAACCACCTCTATCTCCACAGAGGGCTGTCCATCTCTTCCCCATTTTATGATGCCCAGCGTAGCAGTCTGGGAGCTGACCTTGTTAGTGAAAACAGAGGCAAAAAAAGCATTGAGTACATTAGCTTTTTCCACATCCTCTGTCACTAGTTTGCCTCCCTCATTCAGTAAGGGGCCCACACATTCCTTGGCTTTCTTCTTGTTGCCAACATACCTGAAGAAACCCTTCTTGTTACTCTTGACATCTCTGGCTAGCTGCAGCTCCAGGTGCGATTTGGCCCTCCTGATAACATTCCTACATGCCCGAGCAATATTTTTATACTCTTCCCTGGTCATATGTCCAACCTTCCACTTCTTGTAAGCTTCTTTTTTATGTTTAAGATCCGCTAAGATTTCACCATTAAGCCAAGCTGGTCGCCTGCCATATTTACTATTCTTTCGACTCATCGGGATGGTTTGTCCCTGTAACCTCAACAGGGATTCCTTGAAATACAGCCAGCTCTCCTGGACTCCTTTCCCCTTCAAGTTAGTCCCCCAGGGGATCCTGGCCATCTGTTCCCTGAGGGAGTCGAAGTCTGCTTTCCTGAAGTCCAGGGTCCGTATCGTGCTGCTTACCTTTCTTCCCTGTGTCAGGATCCTGAACTCAACCAACTCATGGTCACTGCCTCCCAGATTCCCATCCACTTTTGCTTCCCCCACTAATTCTACCCGGTTTGTGAGCAGCAGGTCAAGAAAAGCGCCCCCCCTAGTTGGCTCCTCTAGCACTTGCGCCAGGAAATTGTCCCCTACGCTTTCCAAAAACTTCCTGGATTGTCTATGCACCGCTGTATTGCTCTCCCAGCAGATATCAGGAAAATTAAAGTCACCCATGAGAATCAGGGCATGCGATCCAGTAGCTTCCGTGAGCTGCCAGAAGAAAGCCTCATCTACCTCATCCCCCTGGTCCGGTGGTCTATAGCAGACTCCCACCACTACATCACTCTTGTTGCACACACTTCTAAACTTAATCCAGAGACACTCAGGTTTTTCTGCAGTTTCGTACCGGAGCTCTGAGCAGTCATACTGATCCCTTACATACAGTGCTACTCCCCCACCTTTTCTGCCCTGCCTGTCCTTCCTGAACAGTTTATAACCATCCATGACAGTACTCCAGTCATGTGAGTTATCCCACCAAGTCTCTGTTATTCCGATCACGTCATAGTTCTTTGACATCACCAGGACCTCCAGTTCTCCCTGCTTGTTTCCAAGGCTTTGTGCATTTGTATATAAGCACTTGAGATAACCTGTTGATTGCCCCTCATTCCCAGTGTGAGGCAGGAGCCCTCCCCTCACAGACATTCCTGCCTGCGCTTCCTCCCGGTATCCCGCTTTCCCACTTACCTCAGGGCTTTGGTCTCCTTCCCCCGGTGAACCTAGTTTAAAGCCCTCCTCACTAGGTTAGCCAGCTTGCTCGCGAAGATGCTCTTCCCTCTCTTCGTTAAGTGGAGCCCATCTCTGCCTAGCACTCCTTCTTGGAACACCATCCCATGGTCGAAGAATCCAAAGCCTTCTCTCCGACACCACCTGCGTAGCCATTCGTTGACTTCCACGATTCGATGCTCCCTACCTAGGCCTTTTCCTTCCACGGGGAGGATGGATGAGAACACCACTTGCGCCTCCAACTCCTTTATCCTTCTTCCTAGAGCCACATAGTCCGCAGTGATCCGCTCAAGGTCATTCTTGGCAGTATCATTGGTATCATGCCCAATAGGCTACAAATTCTGCAAATCCTATTTTTGTTACCCTGCTTCCAACTCGCTTTTTTGTCTCATCCACCCCACTGTGTCTTGTCTATTTCCGATCATAAGCTTTTTGAAGCAGAGCTTGTCATTTCCTAAATGTTCGTACAGCACCGAGCACGATGGGGCCCTGGCCTGTTTGAGCTCTAGGCACCACTGCAAGATAAAAGTTAAATAATAATTCCCTTGGGACACTATTCCATAACATCATAGTTTTACTTTCAGGAGTTTTCCATGTGTTCAGTTTGTGTTTCATTATAACCTCTTATATTAGACTAATTGATCAATCTCCTTTCTAGGTGTTGGCAGCCTGACTCTCTGCAGATTATCATCATGCGCCTGCATTTTCCAAGAAATACAGTGTTCATTTAGGCCCCTTTTTTCAGTAGCTAGAACCCCCTTTTGCAGCATGGTTTGCTACTCTCTCCAGACCTCATCAGTTCTGTTCCTGGAATGGGCCTTGCTTGAGATTGATGGAAGCACAGGGCCCACTGGGGCAGTTTCAACCAACCAGAGATAAACTGAAACCTGACATTTGTCATTGTATATCATAATTCCTGTAAGTGGAAGTTATTACCGTTAGTGCCGTGGGCCTTCTTAAAAGTGTTACTTCCCCACAAGGGTGTAGAATGCTGATTATTCCCAGCGTAGTTGCTGGTGGATCTGTTGTGTTTTATTGTGTTAAATATTTACCTGTGTCAAAAAGGCTTGATCCAGGTTTCCACAAGTCAGTTTCCAAAGCTTTCAAGCACAAAAAGAGAAGAGAAATTATTACTTAAAAGCATGGAATTATGGGAAGTTACAAACCACTTTGCAGAATTTAGAAAAGCCAGTTTGTAGAATGAGTCATGATGAGTAGAATCCAGTGTGAATTTTTTGGCTATTTAAACCTGGAAATCTTTATGAACACATTTCAAGCCTTATTTAGTAGTTTCTTATCTTCTCCCTCTGTATTAAAGCACATCTCTTTAGATCAGTTTTGTTCTTTTCATATTCACTTACATTAACATTGGGACAAGGTTGGCCTTACCAATTTTTCTTTTGGCCAGGTCAGCAAAAAATGTTCCACCAAACAAGCCCCTGCCCTGCTGACTCCCATAATAATATCGACTCCTGTTCTACCTCAAACCTTCCAAAACCAAAGAGATGAGCAGATTCCTGCTCAGACCCCAACAGGCAGGAATGTGATGAACACCACCACCTCTGTTTGTATAAATAAATACAAGACTGCCTCTGTTCTCAGGGCACTGTATAACTTTAATAGAAAATAATGTTTTGTCCTGGTTTTTGGCCACTTGGATGAGCTAACAGTCGCGTGAGATGGTGCAAGTGGCTCAGGCTAGGTGAGCAGGTTAGACACCATCCCTATGTCCATCATAAAATGCTGCTACCTAGCCCTCCATGAAGAATCCCTGAAAGCATCCTTCCTCCCCACCATTTCCCCTGAACTACCAAATTTCTCACCATTATTTGATGGACACTCATGCTTTGTGGTTTTGTCTCTGGCATAAACCTGTGAATCTTAAGCATTTGAGCACTGTCACTCCTAGGTCCCTAAGTCAACCATCTTTGAGAAGGGCACTTGTTTGTCCTTGTGAAGTGGGGAATGGGCTGCAGGTAAGGGAAGATATGGGGCAGTGGGCTGCTGGGAAGGGAATCTTGGTAGTCTTTCACCCCCAATAAAAGTCTTCAAGCCCCCATGACCTCATTGTACTGAGCATTGTTCAAACACAGAGACACAGTCCTGGCTCTGCAGAGTTTATAACCTAAAAGACTCAAGAACCAATGAAGGGTTAGGACAGGGATATACCACGCAAACAATGCGTTTTGTTTCGATGTTGTGTTTTTATTTGGGGTGGGGAGAAGGAGGGCAAGAAGGAAATGGGGGACTGAGTCGGGGACCAGGAGATGAAAGGAAGGGGAAGAGGAACAGTCACTGCTCATCATCAGCCTAGGCATAATCAATTTGCAGTTCTGTAGGCATGGCTGCGGAGGTGAGTCTTAGTGAGCATGGGAAATGAGTGAGTTAGACTGCAGGGGGGACTGCAAAGACTGCTTAGGCAGTGGGTTGTGAACCTGGCTGCAGTCATGTCATGTATTGATCATTTGTTAATAGACTGCCAAACTTTTGTGTCAATTTTTGTTGTGGAGGTGAGCAATGACTTCCAGTGAAACAAGCTTTGTACTTTGTCTTAGCAAAGCTTTGTCTTAGCAAAGCTTAGAAAGCTGTGTACTTTGTCTTACTTTGTCTTATGGAATCTTCATAGGGCTCCAAAGGGAAAGGTTCACACAAAACAAAACTCGAGCACAGCTGAGTCTTTGAAAGGCCACTCTTTCATCCATCAGGGGAAAGAGTGCATTCTTCACATGTAATCTGTTCTACAAACACATCAGCTGTGCATGTCCAGAGGAAAAAAAGATGTTTTAAAATTTAAAACTTATTGGAGCTGCATCCCACATGGAACTAACCTGCCCTTCCACACTCACTATGACCAGACAAAATGAGCTGAAGTAAAAGTGGACAGTTGGTTGGTACAAGGGAATGTACCAGCCTCACAAACAAAATATTTGTTTCCACAACCATCTCATTGTTAAGGGCTATGCTTGTGCAAAAGGCCACACCCAGCCTTCATGTATTTTTGAATGGAGCACTGGCTCCTTGATTCTTCTGCATTGTTCAATCTCACCACTGATGGGTTCTTCTCAGTAGCACAGATGCTTCAAATGATTCTGACATGGTAAAGATCATCCCACTGACTGTCTGTATTTTTGTTGTGAATCACAAGAAATTTTTGTCCCTGCACTTGAGATGTGGCAGAAATGCAAGAAGGAAAAAAAGGGAGTACGGCTGGAGTTTCTCTGGATATACCCTACTTAAGAGCTACTTCCACTCAGATGATGACAAAACAGATTGTTTGTTTCAAGACCCTCACAGATCATTCCAAACCCTTATGATTGAGCTCTGTCTACTGCTCCTTCAGGCAGTGTTTCAGTGCTCATATTCTTTAACAAGTTTCTACCGAGGAGTGGTCCCTCCCTTTTCCTTTACAAACACTCTTTTTTTTATATATACAAGTGATAAATGACAAAAATTGAGTGGGCTGATTGCAAATGGGACAATCCTTAAATCTCAGAGAGAGGAGCAGGTTGACAATAATGTCTTATTCCTTGGGCTTATAAGAAGATGGACGATAAGGAAATTTCTAGATGAAATTCACATCCCTGAGAAACAGAAATTAAAATTCTTGAAAGTTGCCAGGATTTATTACATGACAACTGTCCAGTATGCTCTGAACAATCTGTGGTATATTGAGGACTTTGTTGAAATTGCAAGCTGTTACTTTAAGAGTGGTAATGGGGGTTTCCTTGTCCTGACTGCAGGCTCGGGTTGTTCTGTAGGAAAGTGTATGATGATAATCAGTCTGGAAAGAACTAGCCCAGAACAAGGTGGGGTGAGTAGTGCCTCTTTGAGTTAGGGAGCAGCCTGCTTTGTCCCTTTCTGTGTTTAATTACTGTGTGTTGTCCAGGAGTCTAAGCATAAAAGTAGTGTTACATTGCAACCTTCCAGGAAGAGTATTTGATGTTTTCATCTGAATTGTCTGTGTGTATTCCGTGAATATAACACAGCCTACCCATAAAAGATCAAGTGGGTGTGAAGTCTTGGATTGTTGACTTTTGAACTGCAGCAAGATTAGGGTTTTTGAGTTTTTGAATACTATAGAAACAATTTTGTGGTGATGGTGGGTTATGGCTTTTTTTTTAATCCAAGTTTAAATTCTTGAGAGTGTAAAGAACTACAAGAAGAGTTTGGTCATTATCAGTTGCTTGGCGGAGATGAAATTCCTGAAGAAGTGTAGGAAGAAGTGTAGGAAGAAGCTTGGCAGGAAAATGGATTTATCTGGATGGATGTCAGCTTAAACAAATGTGAGTGGGCTAATGACAAAAAACTCCTCAAGCATCAGTCCAAGACTGCAGAACTGATCCTGATCCACAAGAACTGTGTGCTCACCTTGTGTGATTAAGAAAAAACAAAACTTCATTCCAAGACAGCATGGAGTGGGCCAGTAGCTTCCCTTCAATCATGTGCTGAAGTTGGCTGGAAGCAACAATTTTGAGATGCCAAAACTGGTGTTGAAAAAGATGAAGATGGGGACTTTTTGGGAATACAACAAGAATCAAAGGCTGATTGGGGGCGGGAGGGGGGTTGGTTGTTTTCCTTGTGATTAAAACAACGTCATCATTCATGATATGGAACTCCTGTTTTGTAACTGCCTTGGAGAAACATTAGGATGTTTGAACAAAAGTATTAGCAGAAATAAAATACCTTCTTCACAACAAACAATTCTCAGCATCATGCCCCCTCCTCCTTAGGGGCAGGTTCTCCCAGACTGGAACACCTGCAGCTCCTTCAGTCCCCATGACATGATTCCTGCCGATTTTAGTTCTGCCCCTTTGAGCCAACCTTCCCCCACACATGGTGTCACATCCATGTGGAATCCGAGAATCTGGGCCCAGCTGGGAGTGACATCTCCCTAATAGCTCATCTGCACCAGCAGCACATGGGGGCAGGTAGTGCGGGCTGGGTCCCAGGCTTTCTCCACACCTCCCCTACACCAATTTTGGCAGGCGTGAGAGAGGATTGGGGAGAACAAAAAGGAGAGAAGGGATAAACAAAAGGCAGAGAATATATGTGATGGAGAGAACAAATAAGTATGACAGAGGGGGGACATATCAAGGCAAAAGCTAGGGAAGAGGAAAAGGAGGGGAGGAAGATTGAAGCAAAGGGAAGGAGTATCAGACACTTGCTCTTTTTGATGTACAATTTGAACACTCACAAAGGAAATTGCCAACATCATGGGAGACATTAATTCACACAACTTTACACTAGAACACATCAGTTACTGAGCTAGTTAACTTTGTTTCACATTCACAAATATGGTGGCATGATGGAACAGCTGTTCAGTAGACAAATTGCTACACGTCTCATGGGATCACCCTGAAAATCTCATGAAATGTTACTTATGAACCTACCTTGAAGGGCAAACATTTGAAATGAAAGGAAATGAGGGGACTTTAGCCAATTTCTAACAGTAGATCTTACCGAGATGGACTGGAGACTCGGCAGGTTTCTGGAAGGCTGCGACAGGCTCTTGGCGTTGAATACCTGTGTGATTTGACACAAGGTTCAATTTCAACTGGTTAGTACAGAGGAATGTGATTACAGGGTGTACAATGTAACTGAAAGTAATACTCATTGATTTCTTTTAAAGACAAATGGAAAAGGAAGACAGTAACTGTGAACAAAGAAGTACCTTTAAAGACTGAGACAAAGGGTCAAATTAAGATCTAGTGAGGGTGGATGCTTCTCAGTGAAGTTGTATCCCTGAATCTAGGGTGCAGAATGACTTCTGAAAAGTGCTAAGCTCACTTGACTGCTAGACATTGAGGGCACTCAGTGACTCTCAGGATTAGGCCCTGGAACCCCCGATTGAAAGGCATCTGAGACATGGTTACAGACCGTGAACCCTGACTGCTTAGCAATAGCACATGTGCCCTTCTTGAATGGTTAGAGATTATATTTAGAGAACAATTATGAGATTATTTTCATTTCTTTGTTCTTTATCCAAACAAGTTGCCCTCGTTAATTAAGTATATTCCCATGCAATAATCAGTGCGATGTTTGTTAGCATTGCAGACTGCTGGAAAAAAGCTTAGAAGATGAAACAATATTGTATTATTTAACTCTCAGTAGATGCCAATGGTATAATTTGCTACAAAAAGAAATTTGAAAAGTTACTTAAAGCCTTTACCTGTATTAGCTCGAGGAATATTTCTGTTACTTGCATAGGGTGAAGTGCCCCTGAATGCTTTGAAAACATTTTATTGGTCAGTGCACAGAACTTAAATAGAATTTTAATTATAAAATCTACTAAGTCCGTATTAGTTTAAGGACATACCTTGATTCTGGCCTCTTCCTTGTGCAGCCTGAATCTGCCCTAAGTAGACATTAAAATGGAAAATGTCATTTAGACTATGTTTAGTTCAAGACGGTCATTATCTGGGATTTTCAGTGAGTTTCATTTTGCACTTGTCAGAGTTAATGACATGTATATGGAGTTTCTTTATACTGCAGCAATGTGCTTGTGCTTATTGTTCATATATTTAAGTTGTTTCATGTGGGGGCAAAGTAAAAATATATAGTTCTTGGCTTTTGTTTTGTTTTTTACTGAGAAGGTTAATTAACATTTGCCACTTTACATTTAGAAATGTTACTTGTATAGGACAGTAGGGCTGCAGGAACAACTTCATAGTTATGGTTGTGACTTGGTTTCCATTATAACCCTTATTTAAACTCTTTCCCCATCTTTATTGTTCTTATTAAGTATTTGTATTGCAGCATCACCTAGCAGCCCCAGCCAAAGATCAGGACTTCATCATGCTCGGTGCTGTAGAAACATAGAATGGAGATGGTCCCTGCCCCAAAGAGTTTACAGTCTGAATACGAGACAAGAGACAACAGATGGATATAGGCGGATGGGGAAGCCCAAAGAAATAACCAGACAATAAATAACTAATGGGGCAGAAACTATTTATATCTGAAATCACAGCTCCAGTGCCTACAAGGGTGGTTGTTCTTTTAAATATAAGACAAGCCAGGGAGTCTGCACCACTGCAGTGTGTTACAAAGTGAGTGTTTATTGAAAAGGAGCACTGAACAAGCAGGAGGCTGTGGCATGAGAAGGAGAGGTCTGTGTTAAACAGATGCCAGCCGGTCAGACAAGTGAATCCCCAGAAGAAACTGATCAAAAGTTAACCAGGTGCAGAACCTGTTCAGCTGAGTGCTATGACTGCAAACTGCAGAGAGGGCAGTAAAGCCCAGTTACTGGAGCTTTGGGAAAAGTCAGGAATTAATGTTAAATGTGTAACTGCAGACCAGCTCTGGGATGCTTTGATTAAATATGACCGGGCAGAACACAGCTAATACACTGTAATCTAGGCCTAGAATCAGGAAAATGCATTCTGTGCAGGGAGCTAGTCAGAGCCCATGGTTGGAAACTGATCCCAGTCTGTGGTCGGGACAAGTCTTATGGTGAGCATGAACCAGCGGTCATGGTGGCTGCTGAGGAAGATAGATATGCCATGGGCACAGAGGTGGAGATGGATGGGCCAACCCAGCCAGCACAGCTGAGGAAAGTTGTGACCCGGAATGGGAAAAACGGCAAGACCATACACAGCAACGGGAGCTGGAGTGAGAGAGAGACTGCCACCTGAGAGCAGTGTACAGAAGGAGCAGAGGAGTGGCTGCAGGAATGGCAGCAGTTGGGCCAGCAGGCAGTCCCTGGAGGAGTAAGTGGTTAGGATTATCTTGGGAAAGAGCCAAGGTCCAAAAATAAACTCCAGGTTTTTTCCCCAGTGCCAGGTGAGAGTTCTTATTCAATAGCACAAATGTGTAGGTAGGTACTGTTACACAAGTGGGCTCTCATCTTGCTCCACTGCTTCTACGAAGGCTTACACCTACTCAAATGCAAGGCCTGTCCGGAATATGTGAATCAGTAAAAAGTAGCCTTACTGGAAAATTCTCATCTAACCTAGTGGCCTATGCCGGGCCGGCTCCAGGCACCAGTGAACCAAGCAGGAGCCTGGGGCAGCAAATGTAAAGGGGCGGCAGGACGTCGGGCTCTGGGTTGGCAATCCGCCCTCAGTGGGGGTGGGAATTCGACGGCCACTCCGTCAGCGTGTGTTTTGTGCTCGGCAGCAATTCGGCCTCCCTGTTCGGCAGCAAGTGTGGTTTTTTTTTTTGCCGCTGGGGGGGGGGGGGGGGGGCAAAAACGCTGGAGCCAGCCCTGTGCCTATGTACTGAAATATCTACAGAGTAAGAAGACCTACTACAGCACCTAAATTTGTATGCTTATTTATTTATTTATTAGGTGCATTCCAATAGTGCCTACTTCAGGCCTACCAAGTATTATGCATCTTGCACTGACATTCATACATTAGGCAGCCCTTTCATTAGGGCTGACAACTTTCTAATTGCTGACAACCAGACTCCCCTCCACCACACCCCTTCCTCAGAGGCCCCGCTCCCTGCTCCACCTCTTCCCCCCAAACTTCGCCCCCAGCTCCACCTTCTCCTCCAGGCCCCACCCCCCACTCATGTCTCTCTCCTGCATCATTCACTGCTCTCCCCCTTCCTCATAGCTGGAGCCTCTCTACCTCCCTTCCTCCTCCCCCTGCTGGGCTCCCTCTGCTCCTGAGCTGCAGACCCTGTCGCAGAGCCTCCCTGCCCACGAGATGCAGGCAGGAAGCAGCCCCGGCTGAGTAGGGACTTGCGTGTGTTGATGACCCAGTGCCTTCTCCCCATCACCCACCCGCAGTAACCAGGCTTTTGATGTCCAGTCAGTAGATCTGACCGGACACTGCCAGGTCCCCTTTTCAACCGGACTTTCTGGTCGAAAACCGGACACCTGGCAACCCTACTTATCGTGCTTAAATCATATGAAAGATTGGGCCTGCAGTGGAGCAGGCCCATCCCTGCTGTTTTTTGCCTGTTTCCATGTAATCTACTGAGACAATGAATGTTTAGATTTAAAATTTGGGACTTTTATATTGAGGTTTATTTGTTAATTCATATTTTTCTGACAAGGAAAGCAAGGTGAAAACAAAAAAGGAAGAATATAAGGAAGGAAGCACAAATACAAGGACTGTTAGGGGCAGCAAGGAGTATTTTCTTCTGAGAGACTCTCAGCCACAAATCACCTTTGGTTTAATCATGTAAACTTTTCCCAATACCAGTGGTTGGTAGTGGCAAAGCATTTTTTCTTATAGATACAACCGTTGTAGTAATCGTTTGAACTACACTGTGTTCCAAGCTAGTTTACTCTAGAGGTTCCTTTTGAAAGCAAGTTACCAACGTACCATGATGGTCAGATGCGAGTCCCCATTAGCCAGGACAAACAAGAGAGTGTTTGATTCCTTCTCCAGTTTCTTCAGGATCCCACTGTTTTTAAATTTTGGACCAGACAGATTGTGGTGTGAAGCTGGGCATCCGCAAAAGCTCCAGTCTGCATCGTAAAAGTGGGCCCTGAATGCATGTAAGGCTGAGGCTTCTGAGAGGGAAGCTGTGATAATCAAACAAAAATGGGGGCTTTTAACATTTTTTTTGGCAATTGTTTGACTTTTAGAAAAATGAAGTATTTAGAATCCAGAAGACATCCTCACCAGATGATAACAATGATGCAGTAGGTCAGATTTGGGGTATAAATACTATGCTTAGCAATGTCCTAAAAATCATATTAATGTGTTTGGTCCCAATTGTGTTCCTGTCAGCAGGATATCTTCCATGGTCTTCAGCACTGACACATGATGAGGTATTGCCCCACACCCTGGGCCCTTATAATCTTTCTGCATGCATAGCTCTTTTTCTCTTTTGGGAAGAGATTCACGTTAGGAACCTTCAAGAAATTGAAGAAGAAACCTGGATCTAAAATGCGATCAGGAGACTAATCAAAGACAAATAAAAATCACGAATACATTACATTTTAAAGTCTCAGGATTAAATCCCAGCCCCACTGAAGTACATGACAAAACTGCCATGGCTTTCAATGAAGCTAGGATTTCACCCTTAATCTACATTCTCTTACTGATTTGGGATCTCAAAAAGCCTTTTAACTTCCTTTTTAAAGAAAATGTGGCCTAAATTGTGTCCTGCCCCGCATGAACATGAAACAGAAAAGGGAGTAGCACACAAAGGAACAGATTTACAAAGGTATTTAGGAATCTAAAGATGAATTCAGGCACCTAGAGCAATTTATAAAGGTTCCTAAAAGGAGTTAGACACCTAATCCCATTGACATTTGGTTTGGTGCTTTTGAAAATCCCACTAGGCACCTATCTGCATTTTAGCACAATTAAATACATTTGTAAATCTGTCCCTAAGAGACTACAGCCCAGATCCTCAAAGGTATTTAGGGGAAATCAATGAGAATTAGACACCAAAATACCTTTTGAGTATCTGGATTTATGGCCCTCTTTCCATCTTCATGCAGAGCAGGAGCATAATCCAGTTGGAGAGAGCGCACAGGCACTGCACAGGGCCACCAAATTTTGTGGGTCCCCAAAGGGGGAATGAAGGTGTGAAGTGAAGGTGGAACTATAATGGCCCAGAAGAGATGCCCTGGTGTAGAAGAGAATGGAGAGCCAGACTGAGCCAGAATTCCATAAAAGTCTTTCACTGCAACACAACTCCTCACATGACAATCTGCCCTAGAGATGAACATTTGCACATTAGAATAAATGCCTCCAGGAATCAACATCTTTCATCTCCTTGCTATTTTTTTTCTTCTCCATGCTTTCAAGGTGAACCTCAGTGATGAGGTAATACAGTGGGATTCACAACTTAATTTAATGAATTTTGCTCTCAGTACTTGAATTAGCTTAGCAGATAACCATTGCATCCCCCATGTGGTAGGATACTGAATGGCTACTCTTAATTTCTATGGAGCTTATTTAACAAGACAAAACATCCCAATTTTGGTTTCAGATACAGGGACACCACTTCCATTGGCTTCAGGGACAGTTGTACCTGCGTATCTGAGCAGAACCGAGCCCAAGGTGTTCTGTTACGTCTGCCACTCTTTCCGCTGAGCAGAGTGCATGTTCCTTTTCACTGAGTAGAAGCCAGATTTCAGTCCTCAGTCTAGAGAAACTTGCTAGCATTTGAAAATGTGTTTCTTTTTCTTCTCAGCTAAGTAATTAAATACTGCAATTTGCTTCAAATATTTGTATTACAGCTTGCGGGCTAGAATGGAAGCAGGTTTCTGGATCAAGATGAAGGAGGAACTTTGACCAAACATGATGCTGTTATCAATAACACTAATGCAAAGCCAGGAAAAACATCACATTTATGCCAGACCCTGAGTCTTGGTCTGAGGTTTTCCAAACAGCACTGGCCTAACTTAGGTCAGTGTTCAAAGCTTTCAGCTCTCACTGAGCGAGTTTAAATAATTATCCCACAGTCTGAATTACATATGTCAGAGCAATATTCAAATTTTGTTTTTTGGCAGTGGGAGGGGGGAGAGTGTAAGACCAGAGGGGCCAATGTGAAAATATGCATCAAGTAACTCAGGGGGCTTGGAAAAATTCAAGTGTTAGAAGACTGAGCACCCATAGTTTACCAAGGCAGAAACTTGCAAACAAATGTCTCAAGTTAGACACCTAGGTAACAGTGGTTCATTTTTGGAGATGCTGAGCACCAGTATCTCCCACTGGAGTTGTGGGTGCTCAGCATCTCTGCAAATTAGGCTATATGTTTATTTTCATGTTTACATACAGATTTAGAAGATTCATTATAGGCCCCCATGTTTGTAAATGCTGACCCAGGTTTGTGTAGGATTTCCTCAAGTTCCACTTCAAAAACTGGGCTGAAATCCTGGTCGTTCTGAAGTCCATGCGAGTTTTGCCATTGGCTTCCTTGGGGCCAGGATTTCACTCCAGTTTTGCAAATCTGAGCCTTAATGACACTGCAACACTGCTGCTTTAATATGCACTTTATCCACTCCTCACAACCATGAGCTGCAGCAGTGTACTTACTTGATGCTGCAGCAGCCACAGCTGAGTAAACTGGATGGACGCTGCTAGGACCTAGGCAGAAACAAAACAGTTTCTAACTTTAAAAGGTGTTAAACAATAGGAACAGTGTACATGCTTGTTAATGAATGAAAGTGGGGGTGGGGGAGGATCAGGGAAAATCAGGTAAGCAAAGTCCATAGTAGAGAGCTCTTGCTAATGTAAGGGGACTAACATTCAGTGGGGGTGTTTTAGTTGCTAGCTCCCAGTACTAAAGAGGGGGAAGGGTCGATGGGGAATCAGGACCCTGAGACTGACAGCCCCCAGGAACAATGGGGAGAGGCCAGTGCTCCAGGTCAGCCTGAATGACAGCGGGCAGGCTAATCAGGGAGTCAGAGAGGTCCTGTCCTCCGTGTGAGCTGAAATTGCCTGGGTCAGACAGAGTGGGGGCGAGCTAAGGAGAAAGCAGGGGCTCGAGCTGAGCTGGGGAGCAGAGCTGCACCAGATCCAGAGAGAGCAGAACCTGTCCTGGGAGCAGAGCTGCAGCAACAAGAGCCAGAGGGGCCAGAAAAGCAGCCCAGGAAGCAGGTCAGTGCTGGGAGCAGAGTCACAGAAGCAGCCTGCAGAGCAGACCTGTCCTGGGAGCAGAGCTGTAGCAACCAGAGGCAGAGGGGCCAGAAAAGCAGCCCAGGAAGCAGGTCAGTGCTGGGAACAGAGTCACAGAAGCACCCGCAGAGCAGATCTGTCCTGGGAGCAGAGCTGCAGCAACCAGAGCCAAAGGGGCCAAAGCAGCAGCCCAGGGAGCTGGAGGCAGAGCAGCAGCAGTGCAGAGACAGAGTGGTGGGGCTGGGGCTGGAGCAGTCCGGAGCTGGGTGTGGTGAGCAGCTGGGGAGACCGAGGGGGATCCTGGGCAGTAGGCCCAGCACAAGGAGACACCTCAGCCAAGAGGCTCTGGAAGCCAGGCTTGGATCGTAACCCTGACAGGGCGGGGGCGACACTGGGAAGAAGGGTCCTACCACTTAGAGCCTGAGAGCGTGAGGCCACCACCAGAGCAAGTGTCCAACCCACAGCATCCCTGCAGCACAGCCAGAGCCTGAGAAGGAGGCCTGGGACCTACAAGGAACAGACTGAACTGCCCTGACATTCCAGAGACACTGTTTGTGATGTTCCCTGCCACAGAGCGGGGTGATGTTTCCTTTAACCTTTCCCATTTTTCCTTATTCTTTTTAAAATTGATTGTTGATTAAATAACTTGCCTTTGCTTTAACTTGTATGCAATGGTCAGTGGGTCAGAGAAGTGCCCAGTGCAGAGAGAGTATCCTGGAGTGGGGACACCGTAGCCCCTGTCCTAGGTGACCACAGCAGGGTTGGGGATCGAGCTCCCCCAGGAATCCTGGGCCCAGCCTTGTTGGGGTTATGAGGACTCTGCCAGACAGGAGAGTGGAAGGGGAGTCCTCAAGGGCAGGGAGGCCACTAGGTAAAGGAAGTGGGAGCGAGGACTCAGATCCTTTCGCTAGCCCACTTCACCGGGGTAGTGTAGAAGCCAGGAAAGTTCCCCACAATAGCGGGACTATTCCCCTGCTTACACTAAGGGTCCTTTTTAGGGTCAAAGTAGGATTGGGAGGAAAGTAATTGCAAAAAATCTATTTTGAGTAATGCATTTGAAAGTTATCATGAAACAATTCTCAAATCTCTGTGTTAAATTATCAGCCCACCTGTACAGCTGGCCAAATCATTCAAAGGAATATTTGTTGAATAATATATTTGAAATTATCATGATTTTATTGTGGGCAGGGGAGGGTCCGAACTCAGGTGGAACAATGCAATTCAGATGTAAGTCTGTATTTTATCTATATGGAAGTAGTATCCATAAGTAGCACGTCTTACTCCTGAGAATATATATAGATTGTAGATAACTAATATGAGTGTAGCCACTTTTACCTATAACAGTCTATATTTACATAATATGGGGGTTTATGTTTATGAAGCATACTTTCTTCCAGATGGGCTTTGTAACCGCTCAGAAATTCATATCAGCACTCTTAACGCACTAATTTCACCCCTCCTTTCTGCTGATTCTTTTATACATTGTTAATATTCCTACATTGTATTATTTAATAAATTTTGATGGTCTATTAAACAAGGGCCAATTAGACTTTGACCTATTCTTGAAATATTATTATTATTATTTATTAGGAAAATTGAAGGTCAACATGACGGTACAAATCCCTGCCTTCATTCTACTGACCTATATCCCTGACCCTATGCACTGCAGGTCGAGGTTTGGCAGCGGTAACAGTAGCTGGAGTGCTGGTTGTTGCAGGGATTGTAGTTGGCTTTGGTGTTGTGCTGATGGGTTCTGGAGTTGTGGTTGGCTTCAGAGTTGTGGTGGTAACTTGTGTAGTTGGTACCGGTCCCGGAGACGTCTGATATTCTTTGCGGAGTGCATCGGCTATAAGTGTGTTTAAAAGTTATATATATATATATATATATATATATATATAAACATGTAATTAGATATGACATATGTAGAAACATTATAAATGGTGTCAACTTGTTTAAAATGAACAACAAAGTAGCCCAAGTTCATTCTGGCCACAACCCTGAAAACGTCTATGAGCACCAAACCAATTCATGCCTTCACTGCTGTGTGGATATATAGCATATGTCTTGATGTGACATAGTATTGCACCATTCTGTGGAAAGTAGTTACTAAACAAGGAATTAATCGGGAGCATTCATGCCCTTGATTCTCCTCTACAGTCTCTCCACTTTCACAAGAGAATCTATGAATATGACAAGTATATCAAAAACACAATGTTCCTGATACTGCTGTTTTGCAGTCAATTTCTATTGCACTGGCATATCTCTCTACATGATAAGGCAACTAGAAACTCCAAGTAAATGTAACTCATTTTACCTGACGTACTATAAAATCATCAAATGTGTCACTGAGCGAAGCTGAAATATGTGGTACCTACCACAGTAGTGCAAGTTTGCTGACGTATGGACAACTTCTAGGGAAAAATGTTTCAGGAATTGTGTCAAGATAAGAACAGCTTCCACCTGTTTTGCCGAGGTGAGGTGGGGATAGGACAATATTTTGGGGGGGCCTATATTTTTCTAAATTTGACTCATCTCAGACCAGTTATTTTAAAGTGCGGATACCCACTATTATGATGGAGGGGAAAATGAGATGCTTCTAAATTTTCTAGCTGCCAGATGTGCCTCCTAAATATCGCTATATGAAATGATTTTATGTGTTTTTATATATAATTTATCAGCTTTAAAAATAACCCCCTTAAATCTGCCCTCTCAGTCTATCTACAAAAACTGCCATAGAAACAAACATTTCACACCACTGCCCTCAATCCAGTTCCTCTCTACTTAGCTCACAGCCTCAAGGAAGGCCTAAGAAATTATGGGAATTAAAGCAGGGCTGTGTATCATTATTCAATCCGTTCATGGCTACCTCAGCACAGCCTAGTGTTCTCCTGTTGGAAAGCATCATCCCTTATACTGTCTGCTGGATTAATTACTACCTGCTGCTAGCCAGTTAAAAATTCAAACCTCAGACAGTTTTAAAGGGGTAACAAAGAGAGCTAAAAAAACCCAAAACAGATGAATTGGAAAAATTAACAGAAACAATTTCCTTAGAGCTGAATTGTGCCTTGTCATGCACAGATGTGCTAAAGGGAAAAAGGTAGCACGCACAACAAGTCCTCCCATCTAACTTTGTACTTAGGTGCCAGGGAAAAGGCATATTCTTGATCTTTGTACCCACAGCATGCAAGAACCAGGGAAATCTGAAGATGGCAACAATATTAGAAACCCCTGTGGGGACGAGGAAGGACTGTGCTGATGATGGAAACATGGGTCTGTCTGTCCTGCTGTGCAGGCCAAGGGGAGAACACATTGCACCCTGCAAGAGGGTAGTGGTGGACACTGCTGTGAGTTCGTATCCAGTGGACCTGGAAGCATTATGCCTACCTGAGCTACAGTACTTCTGAGAATCGCTGTTCAGCCACTAATGCTCCTGCCCACCTCCTGCCAGTGCAAAGGAGTGGCTGAAAGCCACAGTGAAGGCCTTAATATTGCACTACTGTAGAGCAATACCATGTTACATGCAAAGCTTAGGTTGTGATGGTGCCCTTGCATCCTCATTCCCCTCTCCTCCCTTATCTTGGCATGCTCTTTGGTGATGGTTTGCAGAAGCAGAGGCTCATTCTCTTGCTATGCGAATCCAGAATAGAGGCTGCAGGAGAGGTAGACTGGTATACATTACAAATTCAAATTACTTTTTGTAACCCACTGCAGACTTTTTAGACTGAAGGGCTAATTCATGTCTAAGGATTTGCTGTGATCCACAGCCCATACCTTGTTCAGGTGATTTTTCTGATGCATTAGAGATGTCTGTATTCTTGGTAGCCTTTATATCTTGTGCCGACTTTTTAGGTTCTGTATGAAAGAAAATAAAGCACTATGAAGGGGTGTGTTTGGCCTATGAAGCTGTCTGCTGGGGGGTCTAGCTGCTCTACTACACCCTGCCCCAAGAAGCAGCAAGCTGAGAGGAAAATAACAAAGAAGGTGGGTCTTCCGAATTTGTCTAGAGAGGACTTTCTGGAGTGGCCATTTTGGAAACTATAGACCTGCTCTTCCAAAGGCTTGAGGGGCTATTAACAGCCAATCAGGGTCATGCTGGTCCAGATAGACGGAGAAGTCTGGCCTTAGCAGATCAGTTCCTGGCTTGGACCAGAGGGGGGGCTCCTCTCTGGCCAAAGTACCTCGAGGGATGACCTGTTGGTTGTGGGTAGGCCTGTGCTCCCTGGCTGGCCACAGGTCAGGTAGCATAAACCCCCAACAGGGGCTGGAGCTTGTTTGGGAGGTTGAAAAAACAGCTGAATTTGAAGGGCCCAGAACTGGGGCTGAAGACCCTAGCAAATAGACGGTTTATTAATTAGACTCTTCCATGTAGACTTTGTGTCCAAGGCACTGAAGACCCAACAAGGTCAGCTGGCAACCTGCAGGAGGCAACGGGGTGAGCAAAGGACTGTGCAACTGCACCCACAGCGAAGAGGCACTCGAGAGGTGAGTGCCTCTACACAAGCACCTTTCAAAATGTAGCATTCGGAGAAAGAAAACCATTTTGTTTCTCCCATTTACTGAGCCTCAATCACCAGATTGTCTAGGGACAAATAAATTAGTATCTCTAGACCAGTGGTTCTCAACCTTTCCAGACTACTATATCCTTTTCAGGAATCTGAAGCCCGAGCCCTGCTGCCCAGGGCTGAGGCATGTAACTTTGCTTTGTGGGGCCCACTGTGGTGTGGGGCTCCAGGCATTTGCCTTGCTTGCCACTCCCTAACTCCAGCCCTGCGCTTGTGTTCCCCTGATGCTCACAGCCCCCACATTTCGAAACACTGATCTAGATGAGTTGATGTAACCCCTGAAAGACCTCTGCGTACCCCTGGTTGAGAACCACTGCTCTAAACTATGGTATACTTTGGAATAGGAGTACACTATTACTTCCTTGATGCAAGTCTTATCCCACCAAATTCTGCAGTCCTTTACTCTGACAAAACTCCTATGGGCTTCACTAGGACTTTTGAACTGAACCAAAAAATGTAAGGTTTGGCTAATAATACAGCAAAATTCAGATAATTTACAAACCATTATGTTGATTCTGCTTCCAAGTAACTTGATGCCCTCAGAAAGATCACAAACTGCAAGGGATTTTTCTGACTCCTGATTGCTATTGAAAGTCGTTTAAACCGTGCTCCTGCAAACACTTTTGAATGTGCTTGCCTTTGAGCGTATGAGTAGTTGCATCCACTTAAAGTAGGACCAAAGCTTTAATGTGTGTAGAGTTGCTGGTTAGTACTAGTTTGTATGTTATATTTCAGTCATTAATTAAAATGCAGTCACAGGTCATTCCATCCTAAATTTCATTAACCCCAAGTATGGAAGGGTTGTCCAATACCCTGATTCAGCAAAGCCCTTCAGCATGTATATAGATCTGATTGACTTAATTCAGCACATGCTGAAGGGCTTTGATGAATCAGAGTCAGAGCGAATACTGGAGGTTTTGGTGTTTAGTTTTCTCTCTGTTTTTCATCAGTGCTGTCTTATTTTAGAGCTGACCCTAGAATTATAACTTCCACATTAATTTGGATTATTTTTTAAACCAGCAGCTGTTGTCTGTTTGTACCAACTGTGAGTAGTTATAACTTGGGAGACATTTATTGCTCTGCACAGGTTTGGGGTGGGACGCTGCCACTGCCAGTTGCATTAAAAAGCAAAAAGAGAATATATCAGGTGTCGTGAGTCTCTAGGGCCATTGGGACAATGGTAGACAACCATGTGTGAAGAGGGTGTTTTGACTATCTGGTAGCCAACCAGTAGCAGCTGGAGATAATGAGTTCAATTTTCTAGTCATGTAAAGTGGCTGTAATGTCTTAAATTGGAGTAAAACTGGCACTTCTCAGATAAGGAAGAGGTAACCTTCTGTTACAAGATGGATCCTGTATCCTTTACAGAAACCCTAATGTGACAAATCAATGGCCAAGCTGTGCTCCTTTGATAGGCACAGTTTGGCTGGGAACATGGATGTCTGGTGGGAAGAGTGCTCCTTGGGGAGGCGGGGGGGTCAGGGCTCTCTGGTTCATGTGGAATTGGGCTGAGGAGAAACATGTCGGAAGATTAATCAAAGACTGGGTTTGATACAGGAATTGTTATTAATCCCTTTGGTCATCTTGGAGTTTTCCTCTCAACAGCACACAACATCACTTGCCAGGATCTTTTCCAGTTCATGCTGTTTAATGGAAGACCAATGGCCAATACATTTTCTGCCATCCATGGTTTGCTGATGGCCGAGGCCACTCACATATTGTACGTGTAATTGAGAAGTGGTTGGATGAGGCTTCCTCGGATTAATTTCTGGTCTGAGATGTGATCAGAGCACCAATCGCAGAAATAGTATTTTGAGTTAGACTGATTGCAGTCCATTGAGGCTTTAAAGTCCTATCCCATGGCTGTGGTGGCACCTGCCCTGGTGTTCCCAGCTGTGGTAGGGGGCTCAATAAGTGGGTGTATTTGGGGTAAGTCTTTTGGTTTTCTTTTCCTTTTCCTGGAAGGAGACAAATTTTCAAAAGCATGGTCTCACTTCCATGGGTGTGATTTGTCCCCATATAATATATGCCTGGGAAGGTTGTGCTTTCTTTCCTTTTTGGTTGGCCTGTTTGAATTGCAGGCACAAACCTGAACACTTGCACCTGTAAATATTTGACTATGAATGCAAATCAGTCACTGAGAGGTGAAAATACTTAGATTTGCGAATGTAACTCACTTTGTAGGTGCAAAGTCTCTGCTGAAAATGTTCCAGGGGTAAACTAACCGGTCCTCAATACAGCTTAAAATTTAGGCTACGAGTCATTTGTGTTAAATTTGTACGTGTGCCGTGAGATTTCTGTAACTAGGACACTTCATTGATCCAATAAAAAGCAGGCAGTTGGACTAGATGACCTCCTGAGGTCTCTTCCAACTCTGGTAGTCTATGAAATGATAGAAACAAAGTCTTATTTTTGTGCTGTGAACATGTGCTAAGAACAAAGTGCATGGATTTTGAGCTATATATTTGCAATACAAGCAACTAGAATATGCAAGTATCACTATGTAATTGTGCAAAAAAACCAGCCCATGACTTTGAGGATAACAACCCCCATATTTTACTTTCATGCAATAATGTGCAATTGGGTAACGTTAGTAGCTACAAACATTTGTCCAGCATGAGCGTGTCCAGAATCCACATGTCGATAAACACGTGAACTCATTGAGAAGCCACAAAATAGCCACATGGTAGCACTGCTAAATAGTAGTGGGTAACCTCATCAGGGTTCAGAAATCACACTGGCAGGCTGTGAATCACTAACAGAAAAGTGCATCGCACTATAAGAAAGTGGTAGGGGTATACCCAGGGCATCATCTCACACAGTCAATCACATGTGATGGCCAAATAGGATGTCTGATTAGGGCTGGGGCCATTCAGTACTGTTTTTATATGCTTATCAACAATAGATCTGCCCTCTATTACAACCCCAGTGGCTCCTATGTGCATTACACTGATGCAGATATCTACTGCATTTTAGTGACAAAGACATTAACAATAGTCAATATACCAGAGATTAACTGGTATAAGACCCGATCCAAAGCTCATTGAAGTTGATGGGAGGCTGTCCATTGATTTCAACTGATTTTATACCAGGGACGTAGAATAGAGTGCAGGTTAGAAAGGTGTCCATAGGGAAGGTGCCCATTACTGCACTAGGCTGGCAGTTCTTTGAAAGGGTTGGGGCTGTTGTCAGTTGACATACTTATTGTGGTTTTTATGTATTATTATCCATGCAGTTGATCACCCGAAGAGGGATGAGTAAATATCATCAGACAAAAAGGGAAATATATACCCCCTAACCACAGGTAGAATCCAAAACTCATTCATGCAAGTGGTACAGAATCATATTCTTTGACTTAAAGCAAGAAACAACACTGGGGGAAAGAGGTCTGTGGGGAAAGATAGCAATAAATAATGTTCTAGAATTCTGGCATTGTTGCCACATATATTAGAGAAGAGCATGTGATGGTTTTGTATAAAGTATTAACACCAATTTGGGAGTTAATACCAAGTGATGATGCATTATTTCTGACTCATACCAATAAAAACCTTATACCATGCCCTCATGTAATATACATACATACATATATATATATGGAACATATGTATAAAATATGACGGAACATCAACTGTAATTACTTGCCTGCTTTAGCAGGTGAGCTTTTTGAGGAAGAATATTCAAGAGTTGATGGGTATGTCACACCTTTCTTTGGTTTGCCTTCTGCAAAAGAAAAGAATATATCAGATTCATAACTGTACGGCCTAGGAGCCTTTTAATGAAATGGAAAACAGTCCTGTAAATAGCTCAGTTTAATTCTAAAATATAACCCACATGACAAACTGACATCCAAAGAATTTCAAGTTCTCGTAGGGCAAAATTTGCATCAAATGTAATGAACCCCGTAATTCCCTCAGTTCTCCTTGACTCCATGATAATGTCCAAAAATCATTTCACTAAACACATCAATATCTAAATAAGGGGAACAAGTGAAGTACTAATGCAAGAAGCTCTAAATGAATGACATGGGATCCCTTTCTTTAATGACATGACTTTTCTTTAAACCTCTGTTTCATGATATATCATTTCTAATGTGTCATTTACAATAATAACAGTGAGAATCCCGTGTGTGTGCTGGGACATATGGTAGTTATATCTGGATCTAAAATGAGGGTACCTTCCCTTGAAAATGAGGCATAGTTCAGTCATGCTCTAAACCACAGACCTTTCTAGTGCCACACCAGATGGCATTTCTATTGACACAGGTGGCTATGAGGACTTCTCTTCAGTAGTAGCTTTACTGCTGTTGCGTTCACAGTACTAGAGAAGCCAGAGGACACTCTATACTATAGGCCAGATTCAGAAAAGTTGGCACAGAAGGATGTGAATTGCATTTCACTACCCCAGCTACAGTAATTCTCTCCCCTTCTCCTGCAACTGTGCCACAGAGGTGATGTACCAGTGTGGATGACAGGGGGTATTTCTGCTTAAGCATTAACTTCCATAAAAGCTCTGCCAGTAGGTGCTACTGAGGAGAGGCACTGGATCAGCATCACCAAGGCAACATCTCACGTCAGATGGTGCCAGCCTTTACTTTTTGAGTTATGTGGCAGTCTTGTTCTGCCAGAGCCTCATCCCCTAGTGGATTTTCTACAACCAGGGGCCCCTGCTGGGGTTTATGCCGGTGTAAGGATAGGTGAATCTATAGTTCATATAAGGACAATAGTTGAGTCAGAGAAGCATTGCCTTTGTTCCCCAGTTCAATCTCTTCGTAGCAACTCCAGCCCCTTTATTCCATTTCCTTTGAAAGCCTGAGCTGTTGTAACCAATAAAATCACCAGATGATGAAGTGAATTTGCTTAAGTTCCCTTTCTAAACATGGCAGGATGCGAGGGTCAGTTTCAGCGCTCACTTACACTGCTATAAGTCAGAAGTCGCTTCACTGAAGTTGAGGAAGTTAGGCTGACGTACAACTGGTGTGAAAGTCAGCTCTTGTCTTAATATCTGATGCTACATCTGATTTGTAATTTAAATAATGTCTGCAAATGTGCAGCTAACGCTAAATTGCTCAGTGTGGCTGGCTACTCGGTGAGCTCTGGCGTCTTTGGTAAAGAACTGTTTGTGTCCCATGTGTGTTCCATGCATCCGTGGGAGCTGCTCTAAATGGAGAGCTGATTCTTGGTCTGGCAATCGTGCTGCTCTTAACACTGACAAGAAAGCTGCCACAAAATCTGTCGGAGTTTGTATAACCATAATATGCGTTAAAAGATGGGGTTGCTGTTAAAGATGGGTTGAAAACCTGAGTATTGTTGAACATATGGATGTTTGAAAAATAGGTGCATAGGTGAAATTTTCCCCATCCTCTCACCACTTACTTGTCACTAGCACACTCAGACATTTGGGACTCTCTTTTCTTTACCTAGTAGCCACAAAACTCCCATTAACCTGAATGGAGTCATTCACATGAGTGCCAAGACATTTTGGAGCTTGAAAATGAATACGCATCTATTTGCATACCTCCTAGTCTGCTCACCACTTCAATCCTGATGACCAGGCCTTGTGCTTGTTCCCCACTCCTCCTGTGTCACACCACTTCACAGGCCAGGTCCCTTAACTGTTCCTCTTCTGCAGTCTCTTGTATAGATGCTTATTCACCCCAATAGTTTGTGATATTTAAACTGGTAAGTTTCCTATCTGGGAACAAACTGTCAGCACGCTTTCACCATACAATACCAGGTATGCTCTTGATATGCTGACAACTAACTTGGCTGGTGTATAGACAATTTCTCAGCTCAGGTGTCAAAGTTGTCTTGGAGTCAGATGCCTCAGCTGGCTTTTCTGGTGTTTTGTATTTCTAGTCTTTATGCATCTCTTTTCTTATAATTAATAATTCACAATTGTAAACAAATGTAAACTTTTTTTTGCCAGTGGGGTTTGTCTGCATCCAACCACAGGCCAACTAAAGCAGAACTAGATGAAGAGTTATGGGTCTCCATCTTTTAGCCTTTAAATTCCTCACAAAGAAAACCACATGTTTCAGAAGGCCCAGTAAGGACTCCCTTCCCTTTAAATACAACTCTCTTTCTGCATGAGCTACTATGATTACTCCCATTGACTCACCCAATCAATTCCCTGCCATTGCAGGGGCCTCGGGCATTGGTGTACCTCAGTCCCTCCTATTCTCTGCCCATGGCATGCTATAGTTTAATCTCTGAACTGCAGTAATACTTTAGTCCAACCCAGGTTATTGGATTCAACGCAGAGGTAACTGAGTGGAGTTTAGTGGCCTGTGATGTAGTCCCATCTGGCCTTAAACTCTGATTTCAGAAAGGCTACTCACAGTGCATACAATTAAGCACAGGCAGGTTGGGGGCCTCATTCCAGGTATTTGAATGTTATCATTCCTATGTGTACCCAGTCTGGGTTGAACCTAGTCTTCTCATCTCTGTTACGTAGGTTTGTAACTTTCTTCTGCACCCTCTGTTTCATGGAGTTAATGTAACCAGAAGGTGTTGTTGTGAGAGACTCCAAAGCTCACTGGGTAGAAGCTGAGCAGCAATTCAGGTAAGAAATCCTATTTTCCCTTTACAGCCCAAAGTTAGAATTTGCTGGTTGTTAGAAGAAAGCAAGTACCAGAGGCAATTCGGCCATGACCAGAAATTCCCAACTATCCAAAGTAAATCCTCCTAAAATGTGAGCTAGGGCTGGGCTGTTAGAAAGCCGCAAAAAGAGCATCCACAAACATTCATTCAAATTCCAAATGACAGCTCAGTTTGATCATATTCCTACCCCTTATTTGCTGTTCACAGGAAAAAATATTTCTTCACTTGAATTTCTCGGGAATGGCTGTTCATACATTTGTGCTGTGTTGATCTTTCCACAAGGTATGCCTGAAATACTCGTAGTTAACTAATAGTAGCTGGTTACTTGTCTTAGCCAAGCAGTGGAAATGTGCACACCATCGCACGCCTATGTGACAGGAGGTTTAATACAGAAGCAACATAAAACAACGTAAGTTAGCACCTCCTGTACTAACTTAGACTTCTCTGTGCATTGGTAGAGGTGAGTGTAAGGGGACTTAATTTACACATCACCTCTGAATTTGTCCTGGGACTCTCAGGGCTTGTCTTTACACCCCTCTGGGGCACGTGTCACACTGTAAACAGTAGAGTGCTCTGAAGTGTCATGCTCTCACAGATTCCTAGTGTATGTTAATGTGGTTCTGTTTGAAACAGGACTACATCAACGTGCACTAGGAACCTTTTAGATTGGAGTGTGTCAGTAGGATCTACATGGGGCAGTGAGAGCGTAACACTTCAGAGCATTCTACAATTTACAGTGTAGCATGTGCCCAGAGGGGTGGAAAGACAAGCCCTAAGTTAGTGTAAGTTGTTGTAGAGTGTTGGTATGGAGGTGGGGAGGAATTCAGGACAACAAAATCTGACTTAGGAAAGAATTTAATGGACCAACACAAATCGGCTGCTACCTAGAGGTGGAGCAGAACTGTAATTAATACATTTAGGATACGCTGAAATGGTCACTTAAGACAGGATGCTGCCTCATCAGAGTCACTTGAAGAGCATTCACTGAATACGGTTTGAGATATGGGACTGGTAATCTTTTTTAATTAGGATATGTATTTCTTTTAATAAAGAGCCTTGGCACTGCCTGCTGTGGCCAATAACTGCAACAAAATGTTTTTTTGCTGTTTATGGTTAAGAAGAAAAGCTTCAAAGCATGGAGTGAGTTTAACTGAAACAGATGTTTCAGGCTCTCTGCAAATTCAGGCAGACAATAGCTCTGAGATGTGAACCACCCCATCTATTTAAATGGGTGCTAACTCAGATGCCCCAGATGATACTTTGTGTCAACACAGCTATCTATTTCACTGCACATCAAAGCATGTAAGAAAGCAGAGGTATCAAATTATGAAGGTATACAGTCTACTCTGAGTGACCATTTATTTGGATGGGCTTTTAACAACACAACAGGGTGATGGGGCTTTGGTCATGCATTCAACTGGCCAGGTCCTTTGCATAGAGTACCTGTCACTTTAAAGTGTGGTAGTATAACATAATAACTGAATTAGCTCTGTAGATTTTTTTTTTTTTGTGGGAGGAAGGAGGGTAGTACCTGAAACAATGAAGGACTCCCTCCAGCGTGGTAGGGACAAGGATCGGATTCCACTGGAGAAGCTCCCTCTGTAACCAGATTGTCCAGCAACTTTCTGAACAAGGATCTTCCCTCCTGAGTTGTCAATAGTACCACTACAAAAGAGGGTTGGGAAGTGTTAAATGATATCAGAAATGAGGCAGAAAAACTTAGAGAATGTTCAACTGTACAAGAGTTAGGAAAGTGTTCTCTCTCATTTTAAGTGACATGGTTGAGGTTACAACAGTCCTTGGTGCCACTTGAAGAAGTCTGCGGCTAAGAAGTGTTTGTGCACTTACAGCTGTTGTAGGGGTCTTGTATTTTAACCTGACTCAAGTGTCAGTATGTGGCTGAAGTTAATTGTGTCTGATGGCATTGTTCTGAACCGGCACTGCCGGTCAGACATGTCCCTGGCTCCTGAAGTACCAGCCCTAGAATTATAGGAAAAAAAGGGCAGAACTCTTTCCTGAGTTACTTTGTGCAACCGTGTTGACTTCAGTTGGATTTTTAAGTCAGGCAGGATTTAGCATAAAACTTCTAACATTCTAGACTCTAGAGCTTGAGTCAGATCTCACTGCCTTTATACCATGGTACGTACATTAACTCTGAGAGTTGTGATTTATGGATATGTAAGTAGGACGAGATTCAGGGCCCAAGAATCTAAACTAAATTTTGACAAATAGGAGGGTAATTTCCCCCTTTATTTCACAGAACTTAGAATTTTCCCTGTTCGAAAGAAATCAGCCATGTATCACCTGTATCTGGTTGTGTCTGATTCTGATCTCACCCTGATGTAAATCAAAAGAAACACCACTAAAATCAGTGGAAAACATGGCAGCTTGTGTGTGTGCTGAATGCTACAAAGTGTTTACCATGCATGATGACATTATATGAATCCTAATGTGTAAGACGTGTCAGCTTCTGCAACCCAGACACTGAAGCATTAGTTTGAAAACCAAGAAGGGACTGCTACTGTAAACAGAGAAGTCTAGTTATAGTGTGTAAGCTAAGTGGAATGAGAAACATAAAATGGTGAAAAGTAACTTAGAACTTTACAATTCTCTTTGAATAATTTCAGTTGTTGCTGGCAATAGAAGGAAAGGAAACTCACAGCTTTCATACACACTTCAGAGTAGTCAACAAATCCAAACACAAATGGCAGCTAGAGAAAACTGAGACCTTCTGCTCCAAAAACATAGGCCTCTACCACTTAAGCAACAGGAGAAACTACATTCTCGATCAGTATGTTGTGTTTGTGTCAAAAACAATTCAAACCTGTCTGCCCCTAGATATTCATGCACAATTCCCATTTTAGTCAATGGGAATTGTACACAAGTATTTTGAAGGAAGAATTTGTTTTTTGTAAGCTAGTCACTTGACAATTCAATAACAAACACCTGAATGCAGATGACTTCAGCCAGCAGATGGCAGTGGTCTATATACATAAAAGCTAGCTGGTACAATAAAGAGATGCATAGGATTTTTATCCACACAGTGTGTCTCTCTCAGTTTACGTTATACTCCACCAGTGAATTGCTTGCAGTTTGGTGTGGCAGTTTGTAAAGTACCTTTTCACCAATTCTGTTTTTTCTGTGCCATGTTTATGTCACTCAGTATTTGGAGCATGGGTGGCTTTAGTGTGGGTTGGGTTCAGTTGCACCCCAGAGTGCAAAAACAGCCAAATGTACATTCCTCCCAGCTTGGTGAGGAGGGGAAACCGGGAGCGGGAGTCATGAGCAGCTGGGCTGAACCTGAGTGCCCGGTCACAATTTGTGGAGCTGAGCCCAGCCCATGGGACAGGAGCTACCACTACAGGATGAGAGTGGGATGGACTTGCTCTCCCGCCCCACTACTACTCCCCCAGCCCTCCCCTCCACACTGGGTTGGGATTAGGATTGTGGTGCTGGGGTAGAGGGTCATGCTTCAGGTGGTTGGAGCCCCCTTGGCAATTATGTATAGTGTACCCATTGATCCAGGAGGCTACCTGTGCCCCTGGTTTGTAGCAGATGCTTTCAATGGATGTTTTCAGGGTCTTTTTCTAGCTTAAACTGGATCACTAAAAAGAGTCCTACCAAGAGACATGATAACCTATGGTGCCTACATATTATTAGTGAGATTATTATTTATGTGACACCATGAACACGTCTGATGGTATAAAACAGTGCAACAACAGTCATTTGCTATCCATAAATGAGTGATCTGGAAAAGTCTGAGCACCTCCTGTAAGGTGCTGAGCACACTCAGTGATAACTAACATGTAGCTCTTACAGCTCTTTTCATCAGTAGATCTCAAATCCCCCTGCAACAAAGTGTCATTATTCCTACTTTAGAGATGGGGAAACAGGCACAGAGGTGAAGTGCCTTGCTCAAGGTCACCCCGCAGGCCAGTGGCAGAGCTGGGAACAACAAATGATTTCGGTAGACGTTTTGGGTGCCAAGCGCTCTCAGATTGGACCCGTCACATCAAATACTGTCTCTCTCTTATACTCTTTTTTTATAAGAATTGTGGCCTACAATCCAATCTGCAAAGACCACGCAGGGTTTAGGGCAAAGCCAATGACCCCCTACACTGGAATTATAATTCTGTATTGCAGTGTCTCAGTAGTTTAAAGCTGCTGACCTGTGAATAGCAGCACCGCACACACTGGAAAAAGAAGCATAAATGTCGGTGCCATAAACACGGTATTTTATGTCTTGACATCCTGGTGGACATTTTGCAATGAATTCTGGATTGATTATCTTCCCTGCTTTGATATCGCAGTCTATCTCAGGTACATCTGTGAATGCAAAAAATCTGAAAAGTTAGATTTAATACTCCAATAGTTCTGTAACCATGTAACTCACAACAGTGTCCTCTTTGAGCATATGGGTGAATGCCTTCAGGGCACAAGAGGTGTTTGCAAGTAACGTCATAAATACATGACAAGGGTAAGGTTGTAACAAAAGATGGATTGAGGAAGTCAATGGCCATTTCTGACCCTCAAGGAAATCTCCAGTGTAATCTAAAAGATTCTAATCACTATGGGATAGATTGTGGTCATACAATGGGGGAAAGGGGCAGAAGAGAGATCTGGGAGTTGTATGCATCCCTGAGGCAGAATGCCTGCCAGTGTTCCCCTTGTGGTAATATGGTTCTGTTTCACCTGCCAAGGCAAGGCTGTGGCAAAATGCTATGATCTTGCCATAAACCATTAAAAATGTTTGACTGCTATGCACAGCAAACAAGGGATATAAATATAAACTTAAGCTCTGTTTTATCTTCACCAATTAGATTATACAACCTAGTGGCAGGCTTGAATTTCACCCAATGCAGCAAAACTGAATGCACAGAAAAGTCCTTTTGGGATTGTAGCTAGAAGTCCTATAGCTAGAAGTCCTTGTCCCCTTCCAATGGTTAAGATGCACAGGTTTCACCTTCCAGTGTGTGTATTTCAACATATTTATGTCTCTTACCTAGGCTTTTGTACCAGGCTCTTCACTATGGTATCTGAGTATTTATATGTAGTATGCCATATGCTGTATTAGATATATTTCACTTGATATATACATTTCATTATGTGATGCATATGTTTTACACAAAGGGGCTGTGTATTGTTGTATCTTCCTGATGGTTCCTAACAGAAGCGCCAAGGAGTTGACGGAAGATAGCCATAGCTTCACTCCGTTTGTTTGTTTTTCTGGACATTCCTGTTTGAAGCAATTAGGCATGCTGCTAAGACTACTTACATTGTTTAGCCTTTTTGTTCTTCTTTGTAGCTTCTTTAGTTGCATATGTACAAGTCAGAAACAAAGCTAAGACAAAGAAAATACAATGTCAGGTAAACAGGCAACTGCCAGCATCTTTCAGCACATGCCTCTGTGCCTGGATTTTCTGCAGCTCAGATTTATTATTAATCAACCTGTTTTAAAAAATGAAATTAACATTTTTCCAGAAACAAGTAGAATTCTGTTTGAAAAGATATATTTCAGTGGTGTGTGTTTGTTTGTTTGTAGGGAAGTAGAGATTGACTGGCTGTTGGAACACTTACATTTTCACATAATACATAATTAACTTGCGGGAATTCACTACCAAAAGATGCAATTGAGTCCAAGAGCTTAACAGGCTCAAGAAAGGATTAGACATTTTCATGAGTAATGAGAGCACCCACTAGTATATAAAATAGACTAAATAACGTTAGGGATAGAAAACCTCATGCCTTATGGCTGCACAAACCAACAATTAACGGAGGGATTAGGGAGGGGTTGGCTAGGAAGAAACTTCCCCTATACGCAGGTTATTCCTTAACACAGCACAGATGAAAGTTTTAGTGCCCAAGCAGGTGGTATTGGGCTCGGATGGAGACAGGCTGCTAGACTAGATGGACCACTGACCTGATTTGGTTTGGCAATTACTATTCTCCTACAGTTAATGTATCACCAGAGGCTGAGGTTTATAGTTTAACTATTTCAATGCTTTTTTTTTTTTTAATGTGGGAGTTAACTATATGATGGTGACAGGTAGATCTCACTTACCATTATAGGGCTGTCTGCTAATTAATGGTCATACAAAAATGTTAAATTTTCTGGACTTGTTATAGGTACTATATTGTGCATTAACCTGCATTACAAACATGTTTCAGAGTAACAGCCGTGTTAGTCTGTATTCGCAAAAAGAAAAGAAGTACTTGTGGCACCTTAGAGACTAACCAATTTATTTGAGCATAAGCTTTCGTGAGCTACAGCTCACTTCATCGGATGCATACTGTGGAAAGTGTAGAAGATCTTTTTATATACACACAAAGCATGAAAAAATACCTCCTCCCACCCCACTCTCCTGCTGGTAATAGCTTATCTAAAGTGATCACAAACATGCTCACCCTCCTGAGTCCCATATGTATTTGCAGTTGTTCACAGTCTGATTTAGGACCTTGTTCCTTGCCTTTTGTGGCTAGAAATACACAGAAGTTGAATGTGCTTTTCAAGATCCTTGACTGTGTTTAAACGCACAGATTCATGCTCTTCTCCCCTGCCTGGGGCAGACCTGACAGTGCTGTGGATCTGATTGGGCTGGGGGGCACGATCTGTTGAATACACTGAGTCCAAGGCCCCACAGAAATATTTAGTGGATTGCTGGACATACACTTGTTGCAACTTCTCATCCACATCCTTCCCCAGCAATGGCAGTGTGGTGCTTCATGCCTCATCCAGTCAGTGGTACCCCACTGTGACTGTGTGCATGTAGACGGGAAGAAGTCACCATGATGCTAGCAGGGACATAAACTGCTGCTCTGCACAGCAGTAACTTACAGTGTGCATTGTTTTGTAAACTGCAAATCTTTAGATGGGAATTATGCTACATGGAGCCACTTGAAGATTTTGTCATGTACTGTAGGATGCTCATTGCATGTAGCTGCACATTATGAAGAGTAGCATGCCATGTAGCCTTCCCCTCCATGTGGCCTCATTCCCCATTTTCCATAGGTCTGTTGAAGTTTTGCCTCTGTCTTTATTTCACAGTGGAGGGGAGCATATAGCTAGATATTTATTTCCAAATTCTGTGCAATCCACACCTCTCCTGTTGTTACACAGGGCTACCTGAGACTCTTCTGTATGTAGAGTTTAGAAATGCATGTTTAGTAATTTTGTCTAATAGGTCCCCTAATCCATATCTGCACTTAGTTTTTTTTATTTAAGGTACATATAGATCCTTTAGAGAACGCGTAGCGGCTCCAAGACCTTACACAAACAATCTGGGTTTGGCTGAATGGATCAAACATGATTTTTTTTTGGTGTGTTTTAGTTACAAGTTTCTCTTTGATAGAATCCACCCACCATCTTGCCTAGGTGGATTTTCCATCTCTAACTGTGGTACTGCCCTAAGTGGGAACTGTCAAGGACGGTTGCTTCTCTGGTGGGTGCTTATCTTGTGTTTTGCTTCTGTATCAGGTACCTTCCCTTTTGAGGAGTTCTTGCAGAGGAAGTAATATTGCTTGTGGGTTGGGTATAAATCTGCTTAGACGTGGATCATGTCTAATCCTTTTCATTTCAGGGATGGATTCAGGAGGCTGCATGTCCAGCTTTAATTTACATGGGGCTGGATGGCTGAAGATCAGGGAGCAGCAACCAGCTCCCTGCAGTATTCTCTTCCCTCCCCCCACTCCACTGCATCAGAATTTAGTTTATGTGGGATGAAGAATCTGCTCCCAGTTGTAGAGGAACTGTCCCACTTTTCTGGGCACTGCAGTCAGAACTCCACATTACGCACTGACAGTGAGAACATTTTTCACTCTTTCTTCAATAACCTAATACATAACATTCAGTTTAACTCCTCTTCTACTTTAGAGAGGATTAGAATTCTCCATGCTGTGTGAACGGACACTATAATAATATGTTTAAATTTAATCCTGACTGGAGTGTGCCATAGCAATCTTATTCCTCCCTTCCCATCCCTAAATTGCTACAGATTTCTTCCAGCAAGTGCATGGACTTAATAGCTCTTGGAACTTGTTCAAAGGAGGGAGCAGTGCCCTGCCTCCATGCCACACTATGTAAGTTGAGTATGAGTGCCACTTACTTCAAATGGCAGGCATTCCAAACAAAGCTTGGTAACTCTGTTACTTGAGAGAAGTGGAATTGTCAGTGGGGACAATGGGAGGCACAATTGGGGACAAAAGGCTCTTCCATTTTTTAAAAATAGAACCCATTTAAAAGAAAGGACCAAATTCTGCCCTGACTGACCCCTCATGTCATGTCAGTGAATTCAGCTGGGTTACATGTAGTATTAGGGCAGACCTTGGTCTAGAGAAAATAATCAAGCCCTTGGTCTCTTGCCTTGTGGCAGACTGAACTGAACAGATTAAAATGAAGGGGAAAATATAGCTAACCCGGAGTATCCAACCATCCTTGACAGTTCCCACTTAGGGCAGTACCACAGTTAGTGATGGAGGATGCAGCTAGGCAAGATGATGGGCGGATTCTATCAAAGAGAAACTTGTAACTAAAACACACCAAAAAAAAATCATGTTTGATCCATTCAGCCAAACCCAGATTGTTCGTGTAAGGTCTTGGAGCTGCTATGCGCTCTCTAAAGGAGCAGGTCTCTCCTGCATGACATCCTAAACATGATGGCAAGGTATATTTCCAGCCCTTTTCCCTAAATATCATCTTGATCATGTGAAAGGTCCTGCATCCTCTTTGGACTCAGGAAAAAAAACCCATAAAAGAATATCTTCGCAGCATGAAATACACATTGTTCTTCCTTGGAGGAGGCTTTTAAGATTTAGACATGGCATAATCGTGTAGTCTACTGTAATTATTGCAGCCCATGTGCAGTCTAATGATCAGTCCATGTGATTAATGTAATTTTTTTGGGTGGGGAAATCAAGAAACTGGGGTAACCAGGATTGAATATAGCTGTTCAAGGTCCTCCTACATCTTCTACTGGAAGCCCAACTACCTGTGGCAGACCTAAATAAACACAGGAAGCCGCTAGCCATTGACTTGGATTGGAGAACGAAAGTGTCCCTTCCAGGTCTTTCAGTCATCTTTGAAAGTTTTTCCATGACGTTGTAATTTTGTCCAGATCTCAGATACCTCTTTCCCCAGGAGAGTGCCTTTCTTAGCAAACATTTCTGGCATTCACTACGGAACCCAAAATGTCTGCATCATTCAGATCTGCATTGTTCATATGACATGGACGCTTTCCCAAAGTCATTGACCCAGTCCTAGACAATGTTTGTATGTGTATTTGTGTAGTCTATACTTACTTACCAAAGAAGGCTGCAATGATTGATGCCTTCATGGCAAGAACAACAAAATCAGCAGGTTCAGTACAGTGCACTAGAAAAGAAAACAAAATAACACTGTCACATTGCATTCAGAGGTAGCATATTGACTACTGGTGGCGAGGAGGGGGAGAGGGATGGGGATGAGGAGGTAGTTCTGCGCACTACCCCTTAGCCCTCCGAAGTCCTAGCATCCTGAATCCTCTTCTTATGGAAGAGGTATGTGTAATAAAGACTTCAAATATGCTAATAGAGAGTGCTATAGCAAGTAAACTAATTTGAGTTTGATGAATGGGGCCAGGATTTCACTCCTGGAATCTTTTCAGGTAAATGGGAGTTTTGCCATTTACTTCAATACAGCCAGAATTTCACTCTAGATACTTATTTCTGATGCCAGCAGCAAAGGAGGCCATGACAGAAGGTGACATACTCTTGCAGTCATAAATGTTGATTTATTTCCCTTTTGGAGAGCTCACAGGAAAAAAACTCACGTGTTAATAGAATGAATCGGCACATCCATGACAGATTTTTTGAGGTGCTGCAGTGTTTTTCATTTCTAGTTTTTGACCACAGTGCGAATCGGGAGTGTCTCTTCCTAAGAGATTTCTTATCCTACCTTTGCAGACTTGAGAAGTTTGGACAGGAATCTGAACTTTTGGAGCCTTATGCAAATCATACTCACATAGGAACTTTTGAAGATTTCTATCACTAGATAAAAACCCCTAGGCCTGAGATTGAACAACAGCTAATGGTGGTAAAATGTGAGAATCCTATAATTAGAGTCTGAGCACACCGGTACCGCTGAAAGTAAAAAATGTGAATTTAAGCTCCCAGTCAGATGGGCAAGGCACCAGATATGGCCATACACTAAGCTGTAGGGAGCTTGAAATTCTTAGAGCATTATATTTCATTCATAATTATCATTCCATTGGTATCTGATTAATGCAAAAGAAATGTTTTTTTCCCCCTCCAAACTAGAGTCAGGCTCTAAGAAGGGCATCATGCTGGTTCCTGCTGTCAGTATTTGAATTCGCCCAGACAATGGGAAGGGAGGAGGGGCCTCTGACCAAAATGGTCCGCCATTGGTGGTCCCGTCAATCAGAATTCATAGTAGAGCCATCATTTTAGAGGCACTCTCCCTGGGCAAATTCAAATGTGGGCACTAGGGACCAGCACACTTTTCTTCCTAGAGGTTCCACTACGCCACAAATAATGGCAGCAACCTCCACTGGTCATATGTTGTATGGTTGAGCAGCCCTCAGCCTTCAAGTGCATGGGACTCTGAGCAGCTGCACCAGAAATTCCATTAACATCTGACCCCACTCGATTCTGGGTCCCCACCCTCCCAAGTAACTGAGTCAGTCACCCTGGCAAGGGGCTTCCTGGCTGCCTCAGCTCTGAAGCAATTGCAGGGGTTGCATGTGTCTAACACAGCCCCTGGCCATCAGCCTCCACTTTTATAGGCGTTCCAGGGGACCTACACCTACCTTTCCTGCAATGCCTTTACAAAATCCTACAGCATTTGAGCATGCCCAACACTGGCTGGTGGCAGTAGAAGTTTCCTAACCCATCCTGCAGCGGTCACAGCCACTGGGCATGCTCCAGTGCTGAAGGCACTTCTGTCGGCAATTGTAGCTTGTTTCCATAGCCTGCTCTTGCTGTGGGACACTGAGAGATGTGTGTCTGCCTGCTGTGGCCTCTTCCCAGCCCCACAGCACTCTCCCCAGCCAGCCGCACTCTAGTTCTGCCTATCTCTTTTATATTCAACTTTTTTTAGGATTATCCCCACAACTGTAGGATATATGAAGCAGCACAAAAATATACTTTATTTAGGCCTATACTTCCAACTTAGTTATTCTCATACTGGAAGATATCTGAAAATGAAAACAATCAAATACAAGTCTAGTTTTAGAAGAAAAGAAAAGAAAGATTTATTACAAACTGCCTCCAAAGACCAGAAACTATCTTTTTGTAAACTTCCTAATCAACTCCTGCAGTCTGAAGTAGAAAGTCAAGAGCTGCCTCTCAATTCAGCAAGCACGAATCTGTTACTGTGTCAAGGTTTGTGAGGAAAACAATTTGTGCAGTCCACTGAAGTTGCACCTATAGTATATATTTCCAGAGAAATTTGCTTGAAACCAGCACAGTGGAAGATGAGCTATGACGCCAAAGATCCCATAGATGATGTTACAACCAAAAAAAGAAAAGAAAGAAAAATATCCAAAGATGCTATCAATGAACTTGAAAGACGCAAAACCAAGGGCACTGGAGATGAACAGGTCAACAATGGAGCAGGCCAAAGCTGTCTTCCTGCTGCAATAAATTTGATATTCCCATCTGATAAAAGTTGTTTTCAAGATTCAGTTTTATCATTTGAGCAATTGTGAATGCTTTTACAGATTGGTCCTTGCCAGCCATTGAAAGTGATGGGCCAAAAGGACAGTTTCCTTTCCCCCTCTACAAACTGCCATTTTCCATCTTCATTTGATAGAATTAAAAATGCACCACATGAAGATTTGAATGTCAAATGGCATAGCATACTCATATCTTTCAGATTATGCATGCTGTTACATTTTTGTTGTTTGGGGATATGGAAACTTGGAAAACAACATGGTTAACAGTGACTGGAACAATATGCTGTTCAGGGGAGGAGCAAACAGCATGTGCAGTCACGTGGCAACTGTACCATTTGCGAAAGGTCATAGTATCAATACCTGTTTTGATAAAGCAACCTGTCTTTGATGGCTTGGATGTTCTACCTCAATCTGTTATGGTGGCATAGGATCTTAGTTAGCATGGTTGCAGCCTCTGGAATCCTTCAGTAAAAGAAAATTGACATGTTCCAGGTCCTCTAGACATTTGAGAGCAAAGTGAATGAGTCAGGAAACTCACGTCTGAAGAAAAGTATGAGGAAATTGTAAAAGAATCTTGGAACAGGTGGGAAGCAGTGGGTTTTGAAAACGCAAACTATCAAGCTACATTAAGAGATGTGTACGCCACATGGATGATGAATTTGTAAATGATTCTGTATTAGAAGCCAAGGATAACCATCGAAGGAAATATTTCAAGGTCTTAGACAATATATTTGGGGAACTAAAATTTTGATGTGAGAGAGATTTCAAGACGTATCTACTCTCTGGTTTCCTCCATCCCTGGCAACTTCAAAATAAAACTTTAGAAGAGTCAAAGGAGGATGTTCTTAAAATCACATGCAAATACTCAGATTTCTTTAGACTTGGGTCATGAGACTGTCTTTCAAGATGTATGGTTTTACAAAGGACACAGCGCTGTACATTTTGTCGCTTGGGGTCCAGATCTATTTGAATTTCAGTGTCCAGCTCTCTTGATGATGATCTACTGGAAATGGAAACTCTTCCTGACCATACCAGTTGGAGTGGCAAGTGCTGAACGTGCAATGAGCACTTTAAGACATGGAAAATCTACAAGCATTCAACATGATAACAGACATGGCGGAGTGTCCTTGCACTCCTTGCGATTGAGAGAGATGAGACAGCAAGTTTGGAGCTGGACAGCAACAGCATCATAGAACAAATTTGGCAAGGAAAAGTGTGAGTGTGGTGTGAGGTTCCAACAACTGGAAATACACAAGCTGACGCAGTTTGGGTGGATGCTATTTTTGTTTAGGCCGTGATGTCTGTTTAATTGGGGGTGGGTTTTTGAATTTTATCTTTTAAAAAAAGCCTAAGGACATGTGACCATTGGACTTCATGCTGGTCAGTTGCTGACCACACTCTGCCTCTTAAGTCTGCCACTGCATAGTACACTTCCTAACCATTCAGAATATTGTTCATACTTCTACAGTGAATCTGTCAAAGGAAATAGAAATCACAGTGAGTTCCAGAATGGTGAGACTTAAGAGAACCCCAGATCAGTTCTTAACCCAGTCACATCTTGATCCAACACCAAATCAATCCTTCCAAATCCATCAACAGCAAGATACCAAGGCAATAGCTCTTCCTACCCTCATAGCAGAACTTGTCATTCTATCCCTTCAATCTAGTCCCAGTAGAAGTACCTGTTGATCCCCTGCTGGCTCACCATTAAATGCTATTATAGCCAAACTTTTTTAGAAGTTGACACTGACTTTGGCTCAAACATTCTGATTTTTCAGAAGTGATCTTAAGTTGGGCACTTAAAAACTGAAGCACTGAAAACCACTGGTGGGAATTTAGGCCAGAATTCACAGGGAGTTGCGGGTGTCCATAGGTGCTTGTTCAGTCAGGATTAGATATCATTTTGTATTTTAGCAAAGTTAGAATATGTATGGAACGATAAACCTTTATTAGCAAAAGCTGAAGTTGGCATATGGGCAAACTCCTATATTTGGGGGGGGGGTTGTGTTGAGAAGACTTGATTGTCTGGTCTGATAAAATGCTGGAGTCAGTGAATAGCCAAGCATAGTTTGAGTTAAAGATAAAGAAATCTGGCTAGAATGATAATGGTTTTTTGTTTTTCACAGCTCATTTATTCCCTCTGTTACAGTGTAAAATAAGTTTTGATAAAGCTAGGGTTCCAAGATATTCACCGTGATAAATGATTTAGGAATAGTTGTGTGTACAGTTTTCTAGCCCTTATTGATTTAGATCAGAAGGTTTTGCTGTCCCATGTGATGGATTTTGCTCTCTCTTTCTCTGTTTGAATGTCGGGGGGGGGGGGGGGGGGGAGAGGGAGGATTTCCAGTTCAGATATGCGGTGTTTGTGAAGCTGGTGAGCACGGGGTGGAGCAGAAATCATTGTCTCCCATGGAACTGGGACTGTACTCCGGGGTTTGTACCATTAAGGTTTACAAGAACTCTCAAAACTCTGACAAAGGTTCTGCTGTTCCCCAAGGCTGGCAGCCCCTGCAGCACTCTGCTGCAAACTGGAGAGTCAGAATAGATACGTGTTCAACTGGCAACAACATTCTTTTCTAGAACATTTTGAATTTTCTGCTGAAGGAAAGCAAGTAAACTGTGGGGAGTTCAGATTTAAAGGCCATCCAGTAACAAAATTCACTAGACCTATTTACTTGCAACAAGACTCCTTCAAAACAGA